CTCCCCTATGGCACATGTGGTCATCAGCACTATATAGGTGATATAACTGAAATACAAATCTCCTGGTGATGGTGGTCTTTACCGTAGCCTAAATCATTGTTGCATAGCGTGGTGCAGTTTTGTGGTCGGCTGCTTGTTCTAATTACGTTGTTTTAGCCTTGTATTTTGCTCACAGCAGCTGATACACTACTGAGAATATGCCATATGTAATGAAAACTGCAGCATCCTGGCCTTGCTTAGCAAAAGTAAGATAAGAGAAGGAATTAAATTGCACATAGCTAACAAAGCCTGCAGACAGATCTGAAGGGTTTTTTGAAGGTGGAGGGTTTTTTGACTGAGAAAGGGGAATTTCCTCCAAATTTCTTCAGAGTCTTGTTTAAACAGTTCGAGCATGTTGTTATAATCAGTATTGTAGTGGTAGTATTGGAATTGCAGTGGCTTAAACCATATCTGGTTCGTACATTATCACACACACATTATAGCTAAGAATGTGTTTCACATTTTTAATTGACATAGTTGAATGTTGGGGCTCTTTCAAAGCTATTACTGTCTTCTCACTCGTATCTTCCGTGCTGTAACTGCAGTATAAAAGAGCTACGCTATGGTTGTCTCAATGTGGTCAGGTTAATTTTAGCTCTTATACAATATTAGCATTCTTCCCCTTAATATGTATTTCTTTCTTTTTGTTCCCCCCACAGGCATACGTTTGCTAGAAACCTGACAATGCATTGACGTCGGTGCATGTGTGTGGTCCATTGAGTATTCTGTGGGTTTTTTTTTTATATTCCGTGCATACTAAAATGCACATCATTTGTTGTCAAACTGTGCTGTTACCATGAATTTAACTGACTTGAGGCCGGCCTTTGTTGTTGGAGTCATATGCAGGTTTTCCACTAACCTGCCTGTATGTAAAGGCAAAATGTATCCTGAATTTCTTTGGTTCATTTCATCTTAGGACAGGCAACTGCCTGAACACATGTCACTAAAGATGCCTTTTTTTTTTTCTTTCTACTGACACAATAGCTCTGTACTGTATGCTGCTTTCCCAATAAAGTTGCACTTTCATTCTGATGTTGGAATGAACACAAACCCAGTCTAGTCTGGCCTGCATATAGACAAATGCTCAGCTGGAGCAGTAACAAAGCAGCAGTTAAATGTGGAGGATTGAGGGCAGATACATGCACTCACCTTTCCAGTATTTTTCTGAACTTTTCCTGTATTTCACAAATAAAGGTTTGTATTAAAAATACCCAGCAGATGTCAGTGATTCTTTCCCTGCCCATGCTGAAACACTGTTTTCCTGGTCTTAGATAAAGGCAGTGGTGGCATGAGAACATGAATGTAAAGCAGTCAGGTTATAACCTACTCTTTCTCTCCAGCAGGCTCTGTCAGAGTGGCAACTGCTTCACTGTTTGGTTTAGATAATTAACCTGAGCCAGGCAATTGTGCATCAACAAGGGTATGATATTTCAGCGACAGGTATGTGACACATACAGCTGCGTCCATGGAGGCTTAGTCCTGGGTCTGGGCTAGCAGTTCCCTGCTGATGGCCGTTCCAAGGGCCGGAGTCCCTTGAGCAGCTGAGTCACAGCTTGGTGTCCCTTCTGCTGTTCTCCCAAGGGGGGCTTACCTTCTGACTCCTCAGTCAGAGTCTGGAGACAAAACAAAATGTGGGTCTAGGCCCTGGTCTTTACCTCACTCAGCAGACCCCCACATGTAGCAGTGTTCAAAAAATATAGTGCAAATTCAGGTCAGCAGTGATAGATTAATCTGAAGCATTTGACTTCACCAGTAAGCAGCCTGGAGGCAGTATTCTAAGATCCTGTGCAAGAGCACCTGAAACGCAGCTTATAGCATATTCCTGTGAATGTTTTATCACAAGGTAAGGTAAATCTGAATGATATGCTGCCAACAGCATTGCTGGTAAGGTCAGTATGCTACTGGCAATGGCATTTTTCAAGTGAAAAACAAAATGTGATATGCCATTTAGTTTAAATAAATGAAACTGATTACCATTATTGCTCAGTTTTGGAATCTAGCAGTCAATGTTGTCTTTGAAAACAGGCAAATTAGTTTCTGTATATGGGAGAAAAATAATTTCCCATGGGTGTCAGTGCATATTTTGTGCTATTTGTAACTAGGAGGGTGGTCTTTATCCAGAAACTTGAGGTGTATCTCGGGTTGTCCTCACAGCCATGTCTGCCTGGTACAAGTACATACCTGAAAAAAAAAAAAAAAGAAAGAAATTGACTGTGAAAACTAAATTGCACATCCACATCCACAGCAGCAAAAGAACTCACAGATGGGAAGAGTTTGTGTGTAGAATCTCAGGACATCTGCTTCTCGCAATACCATTTATTCATACATAAATACATAGAGGTAGTTGAGGGCAGTCTTTAATTCTGCTTCTGCTTGTTGTGTTTGTCCTAGTCGTGACCTGCTATGGGAGGGAGGAAAATATGCGAGTGTACGTGTGTATACACAACAAAATTCCTTGCAACTGTGCAGTGTGATGTCCTTGTATGTGAAGAAGCACCATTTGAAAAAGGCTCTGCAAGCTTAATTTAAGTGTGGAGTGAGAGGAGGAGCAGAAAAGTATGTCCATGGAATAGGGTATAATTCCTGTGCAACTTACAGATATTTTTTTTTTTCTCTATGCTTGCATAATTGTTACTTGTCCTTCTGGTACACACAACTAAAGAATGGAAATTATTTTAGAAATTCCAGGGGACAGAATGATTAGGCTAGAGTTTAGAATTAAAACTTTAGCTGAGATCCACGTAGCACTAATGCACGGCATTATTACTTACTGTATATGTTGTCATTTAAAAAAAGGCCAGTTGAATTCATTTGTTGTCTGACAGATAACAAAGTATTTGGGGAGTTTTGTCAGTTACATCATGGAGAAGTGGTTGGTTTAGGTCATATTCGTTTCACTTGGCAGAGAAGTCACTCATCCAGAGTAAACATGGCTTTTCGGTAATGGGCTCAGCGTGGATATTGACAGCAACAGGAAAGCAGTTCTTGCAACACTTGGTAAGATATTTGAGAAACTGGTTGCCAGGTTTGCTTAATACTTGGTATAAAATGGTCACTCCTGTTCTAGCAGTATAGTGTGCCAGCAAGAAAAACGCAACTTGATTTGGTATTTGCAGAGCTCAGTTTAAATACAAAGTCAGTCCTGATACGGACTGCTGTGCTGCAGAATGAATGCTGTTCCAGGTGTCACTTTCCAAGTAGGTTTCTTCTAATTGGCACAGATTACTAGAGGAAGTAGCGGCAAATTTGATTATAAACTAAGCTGCTTGCTGGTAATTTTGACCCTTGCTTTTAGAAAAAGTGATTTCAGCCTTATAACCTGATTTCTGAGTTTTGTAGTAAGAAATCAGTCCTGGGGATGTGATGTGCCTGCTTTTAATTCAGCTGTTTTCTCTGGTCTATAAGGTGCAGTGTTGATGATATGAGTTCTGTCCATGCCTGTGAGCCTGCAAAGGGAGGTTTGCTGCTAATTTTGACTAGAGGGAGACCTGAAAAATGTGTCCGTAGTGATTAGGGAGTAAGACAGGAGATCTGGGAAGATCCTCAGAGTAACATCTGAGGACTTCAAAATTAAGCCTCCTAGAAAAAGGAGGAGAGAGAGGAACAGGAAAGCCACAGCAGAGAATGGGTGGAAAAATGGTGTAATCGCCAGAGTACCACCATGCCCATTTCCTCGGGTGATCTCATTCGAAGCAACAGGAAGGAATTAGTTACAACATGCAACCCAAACAGCTTTTGTGAGATCATGAGAGAAGCCTCATGTGTGCAGAGCCTAAAACAGCTCATGAGGAAACAGAAGGAAAGTATGCCATGACATCATTGCTTCTAAAATCAGCCTTCTTGCTTTTGATAAAGCCCCAATTTTTTTGTTCTCTGACTAGGACTTTCCTATTGAGTAAACCCGAAGCTCCTTCTTGAGTTACTTTTCTGATGACTCACAGGGGCATAGAAAGAAGGCTTGGGTCGTACTGTGAGCATTCAAACAGCTCTGGCTCTGTGTTGCTGGGATGGATGTTTGGTTGCTCAGAGAATGATGACACATGAAAATTGGGAAACTGTCTGGCTTTAGCTTTGCACAGTGCAAACCAGCAGGCATTTCAAAAACCAGCCAGACCTTTTGTCCTGTACAAGAAGTCACGTGTGCTTAGGTCAGATCTGTTAGCTATGCATACTCAGCTGTAAGCACAGAATAGAACAACTGAAGAAATAACAGGATTTAATGTGTAAAACAGTTGAGCTGCGTAATACTGCAGAAGAGAGTAATTAATTAAAAGTGTGACAGGCGGTAAGTCTGCCTGGCAGTTTCTAACCAGTGTTATTTGGGCTTCTGTACTCTCTGCAAGGTAGCTGAGACTCAGCTTGGTGTTCTTGTGAGGCTGCCCCAAGTTAGCACCAAGTGTTGGTTCACCCTTAGGGCCGTGTCTGCCAAGCTCTGGTATTAATTCTCTGTAGCGTGAGGCAATGTGTGGCCTTCTATACAGAGACCGGACATGTTTATCATATGACAGACCCCTTCCCCATGTAAAGCAGAAAAAATTTTGAGCTGCAGTAAGGCTGAGCAAGCTGCCTTGTGTCAGAGAATATCTGCATGGTAGTCCGTGTTCTCCGGAAGAGTGCATTTCTAAGCAGTCACTAGGAAATGGGATTTTTTGAAGTTCCTTCCTGAGTCTGACTTGTAGGCATATTTCATTTGGAAGATCACAAAGGAGGATCTTTTAGAAGGGAAACTGCTGCTTAAAGGCATATGCTTAGAAAGGACAATGAGTTCAGACAGTGACATTCATCTATTGTTCTGCTAACCTTTAAGCACTTCTCTGTCTCTGGAATCATACCCCAGTCCCCTTGTTCCCATGCATATGAAATGACTGAATCAAGCTGAGGAGTTCAAAACACTTTTCATATTCAGAACCTTGTAATCTTTTGTTTGCTTAGAAGAGCAAAACTTCTAAAGTTCTTGAGAGATGGCTTTGGAGACCTGTGGAAGCTGTTTGAGCTGTCTGCTGATACCTCTTGCACTTTGGAGTATTGTTGTTAACATCCTATTGTACTTCCCTAATGGGAAAGCTTCACATGCTGCCAGTTACCAGCTTCCCAACTACGTGTGGTATTTTGAAGGGATCTGTTTCTCAGGTGTGATGGTAAGTGTTGATTCTAAGGATTTTTAATGAATTGCATTCTACTGCAAATAATATTACGTTACTGTGCAGCAATGTAGTTGTGCTTTTAAAGAGAATATGGATTACTTTGGCAAAAACTCTGCAGGCAGAAAAACTCGATCAAACTGGAAAAAATGTGAATATACCAAATGACATGCTATGTATACTGTTTAATTTCATGTAAGTGATTTTGTGGGGTTGATTGTTATTTTTTTTTCCTGTTGGCTTTTTGTTTATGTGTAATTTACACTTGTAATATGGAGGCAGGCATTATGTTGATTTAATCCTCTATGGAGGTTGGGTTAGAGCTCTTTTACCAAAACAGAATGAAACAAAAACTAAAAAAGCTTCTCACAACTGTTCAGATGTTTTTAAGAGCTGTATGCAGTCCAGTGTTTAGAGGACTGGATGCAGTTCACAGTTCATCAAGTGCCACTGTTGTTAGGCTAAATACAGAAGATTGTCTCACTCTGGCATAGTAGGATTTTCTCCATTACATTTGTAATATGCTCATCTGCAGCAATAAACCAAAACAGAGTTGCCCGCTACTCATACTGTTCCTCTGTGTTCATAAAGAACTGCAGCCTCAGGGACAGAAACGAGGTATGTAGTAAAAGTAAAAGTGCATGCACACAATCAGTACCTAAAAAGGTCTTATCTGCGTAAGTAAGGTGGTTTTATGAAGGTGCTGAACTGGGAGAGTTACTAAAACATGAGACATTCTTTTGAAATTGTGTATTCTTCCTAAAGCAGAAAAAACCCTTATCTTTTCTAGCTGAGGAAAAAAAAACTATCAGGCAGAGAATTTGAACAGAAAAGCATAGTTGAAAATTTGGGAAAAAGTTAACTGCAACAGTGACATTCATATTTTGAAGCATTTTTAACCTCAGGATTATTACCCATTTGTTAAAAACTTATATATTATCCTGTTACAAACAGGGCAGCAGCATGTGAGAGGATAGTGGTGTGCTTCAGAAACATTCCCTTTTCGTATTTCCCCTTTCAAATCAGTGCCTCTTTAAGGGGCAGTTTGCGGTTCTGGAGTCCAAATCTTATTTATTGAAATGATTCTAGTATCAGGTTTAGATAATCCAGTAGTCTGAGAAAAACAGTATGGGTACTTGACAGAGAAAGCAAACAGAAGTCTAGGTGAATTTAATGAAAGGCTTGTACTACTGACTTTTTCTGGCATAGCTGTGTTGGTAAGGAAGGCGATACCCTGATCCATGTAACCGTGTCAGCAAGAAGCTGTTGAACTGATGTGGCTGTATCAATAACATATCCTTCCTTTCATTGGTATCGATTTGTTTACTTGTGAGCTTGGTTTTATTCTTCCAGCTTCACTAGTACAGCGGTGTCCGTGCTAGTAATGCTTTGCTGTGATAGGAGACACTGTAAAAGAAACAAGCGCAGCGACAGCCTAATAAGAACAGTGCAGTTCCATGGCGTGCCTTGAGTAATTGTGCCTTCCTACTGAGCAGCTTTAAAATCCCAACAGAGCGTAGCAGATGCAGTCCCTGCCTTCCATAGGCAAAGGAGACTTTGGCCTAATATCTGTGGTCGTTTCACTGACCTTATAATGTCCCCTTGTAGATCCTTCTGTTGGCAGTAATTCTAATAACGCTGGAGCGTAGTGTGTTCTACCGGTGCTGCCAGAGTGAGAGCTGTAACAAAACCTACAGGGTGAGTCTGTGTTTTGGTTTTGTGCATCTCTTCAGCGCTTGTTCCGAGTGCCTTCCTGCTCCTGTGTTTCCACCGCATCCTTCTGCCCTCTCCGCTGTTCTGTTTACGCTTCCTTTCACAGAGAAGGATTCTGAGTTGGCTTGAGAGGTCACACAAAGTGTAGCTCTTTCCTTCTGATGCCGAAGCAGGATGAAAGAAAATTAAACAAAAACAGCCCACAAAAAAAATCCATGTAAAATAAAATAAGAACATAGAAGGCCTGAGAGTTTCAAGGAAATGTCCCAACTAAATAGCTTCATCCCCTTGCTTGCATTATTTAGAAGTTATTTTTTCCAGTAATGACTCAATATGCGCTATCTGGGATGCAAACATGTTTCACGCGTGGTTGTGCTCCTCCAGCATTTGGGGAAACAATGTTGCAAAATGCACGTTAAAAAACAAATAATGCCCTAACACTATTTAACTGAGAGTTGTGAAACTGTCTTAAACTCTGTTTTAATCCTTATTTTGTGTGTGTGTGTACTATTCTTTACCTGATATTTTTCTTTCTGAATTTTGAAGATTGGGACAATCAAATGTGAATTCAACCCCAAGGAAGTAGCTAGGCCAGCTGAATGACTGTATTTGCTATGGACACTGTCCCCACACAGTAATGTTTTTTTCCCTTTACTTCAGAGTTTTATTTCAATTGTACTAGTCCTGCTTGGAGTTGCTTTTTCTGGATACAGTTGCATCATTTTTACCTTGGGGTTGATCCAAGGCCCCTTCTGCAATTCATCAGGTGGATGGGATTATATCTTCAAAGACACTGCTGGAGGGTAAGAAACATCAGTGTTAACTCTTCTGGAAGAAATTGTTCATCAGAACAATAGTCAGACACATTCTCTTAGAGTTTTACACAAAATGGCACAGTCTCTTGAACACAAGACCTATATTGGCGAGTGAGGTTTTTCAACTTCTTGAATGAGCACCAGAGTTCTCAAAGAATGGTATTTGCCTCCTTATAAGGAAAGATTAAATGTAAGAATCTTTATACTGATCAGACCTGGAGATCCATCTAGCCAAGTATCCTTTATCTGGTGGTGGTCACAATCACGTGTAGTAAAGAATATAAGATTAGAGTAAGTAAGTGTAGATGGATACTTTCTCAGGATAGTCTCTTGATTTCCTCAAGTTTTTAGTTCAAAGAGCATAGATGGCATTTTTATATTTAATAACTCAGTAGCTTTCTCTTTAACTCCTAAAGCTCAGTGAAGTCTGTGGTTTGAGCACTGGTAGGTGTTGCATGCAGCTGCTGTATCTCATAAAACACCTAAGCAAGGTAGGCGAAGTTTTGTCCGTGTCCCAGCCTCCTAGAGGCATGAAAGGTTTGATTCAGATCTGTAACCTGACGCTGCTTTTGCAAGATTTTACATTCTCCCTTTAAAAGATCAAAGTTTTATGACTTGAATATCTCAAGTTATATAATGCCAAGTTCTTCCAGCTGCGTGTGAATGCACTGAGGATTAAACTTGTCAGACAATCACAAAGAACTTCCTTCAGCATCCATCAGGAGTGGTTCCTAAACTATGGCCTTCTCTGACTTAAGTCAGCTGTATTTTAAAACACTGAAGTGCCCCCTGCAATCTCTGCTACGTATCACCAGCATTACCATCCTATTTGGAAATGCAAAAATGAGAGTTTGAGTTAAGTGTGAAGGGCCAGGTGCTGAATAACACTCTCCAGATTTGGCTCAAAGCATTTCAGTTATGAACGTTTAGAAAAAAAGCAACTGACACTGAGCAAGTGAGTCTAACAAAGGTTCTTGCAATTAACTCCAGGCTGTCGCATGTCTCACGGTTAAAAGGGCACATGTCAGCTGTGCACATTATGCTCCTCAAGGATGCAAAGCATGGCTCTGGAACAACTGGAACTTGCACGAGGTGACACTTACCTCAGCTCTGCCATTTAGGCTGCAGGCACTGGTTAGAGTGATGGCGTTGGGGTGTTCCTGCTCTTTGCACAGTACTGATGTCAGCAGGACTTAACCTAAAGCTGAAATTAGATAAATAAAAGGAAAATACCCATTTTAAACTTGGCTTCTGCCATTCGGAAAAAATGGCAGTGTCCTTCTAACGTGGGTGTCTAACAGGGAAACTAATGAAGCAGACGTATTTGAGAAAAATAAGTCTTTTCACTCAGCTGAGTTTGACAAACCTATGCAGGAGCTGTGCTGGTGTAATGAAAAACTAGAGTCTGGCTCCTAAACTTGAGGCGTATAAAGCCAAGCCCAATATGTTTTTTCTATGTATTATAGGTAAAATAATGTGTATTTAAATTGAATTGCACCCACCACACTTAATTTACTTCACATTGCTGTTTCTCTACCAGGTACCTCACAGATTACCCTGCTTGGTCTCGGTGCACCGAACCTGCGAACGTAGTGGAGTGGAACATCATTTTACTCTCTATTCTGATAGCTCTTAGTGGACTGGAGTTGATCATCTGTTTTCTCAAAGTGGCTTCTGAATTGAAACGGACACTCTGTGGGACCTATTCTGTTTTTGTCCAGGTAACAAAATATCTGAGGTAATTTCTTCAGCATCTCTGTCAGTTTAGCTTCAGCAATTTCTCTCAGTTGAGGACCTACCCTTTTGGTTTATGCATTCTCTATGCTACTGCATTCTTATTACCAGAGGGTATGTATTGATAATAAATTTATTGTGTTTGATTCACCCACTAATTCCTTGTGGTATACAAGGATTGGTGACTGCTCACTCTGACCTTTAAGGCTAGGAATGAGAAGAAAAAAATGTGGCTGGTTATTTAGCACCGATGCTGAGTCCATTACTCTTATGTCAGCAGAGGTTTCTGAGCACCTCTCTTATAGCATTCAATTTAAAGTCATTCTTATCAACGTGTGGGTTTCACAGCAAACAGAGGAAGATGCAGGAGGTAATATGTAGCAGTTGTGATCTAGGCATCAGTTTTGACTATGTTTTCAGTACGTTATTGAAACAATAACTGAGAGGGCTCTGCTTTGGGCAGAAGAATTGGTTGGAACCCCAGAGCTCAAGTGACTGATGCTGCTAACCTGCACGCTTGTGTGAAGTGGTGTGGTTTAGTGTGGCATTCAGTTTCCCCAGCTTTGGAGGTAGGATGAAATTAGACATGCTTACCCCTCCCTGTCCATCTGCGCTGGGATCAGAGTCCTCAGGGGTTTTTATGTAGCCAACAATTTCAGTGATGACAGCACATTCGAGAAAGATTTCTAGTTAGGAAAAGCAGCAAACCCCAAAAGCATGCATGCCCATATGCACATGTATATATACATGTACACCTGCACACACACAGAGTAGGGTTAGCTCTGTCATGTAGGTGGGAAAGGCTGGGAGGGCAGAGCAGGTAGGATGGCATTGCATCAGCTACATGAAGTCTCCTGCACCAGCGCTGGTCAGCCAGGGCAGGGGAACTGCCGATGCCACTGAGGGCCTTGGGCAAGCGGGCAAGGAAGCACTTCTTGTAGGAATTTACTGCAGCAGCAACCTACGATAAGGTCAGGGCCTGAGGCAGTTTCTCACAAAACATTCCACTTGCCAGTGAAAGAGCCTGGTCAGGCTGGGACCCAGCCCAGCTTCCAGTGAAGTCAAAAGCAATGCTGTCGGCTCGTCCCTGGGCGCAGAGCAGAGTCACCTCTGGAGTTCCAAGTGTGCGTCGGATTTAGATGGGATGTGGATGTTGAACAATCAAACAACTTCCATATTAACTTGAGCTGAAAAAAAGAGGGCAATTACTTCCTTCCCTTTTTATTTGCAGGCCGGGATTCTCTGAAAATGGCAAGGAAATCTTTGCTGCCTCTCACCCGCTCCCCAGAAGAAGAGAGAGATGGCTTCTCCAACGTTTATGATGGTAGACTTGGGTGCTGCAAAGACAAATTAAACCCTTGTCTTAAATCTTTTTCTTTCAAGCCTTTCTATTTTGGGTGAAGTTATTTGAACTGTTTGACATCTACTTTTTTCCTAGTTGTTTTCTAACCTGTGTCACCTGGCAGTGACTCTTCTTTTTTTTGTTTTAGCCTCCAGTTTATTCTGACAATAGGGAGGTTTGAATACCATGGAACTGCTTTTGTATTGAAATCACGGGTTTTTTGAATAAACTGCTGCAAAACTGCTACAGAACTGCTTTTATACTCCCCTCTCTTTGTTTAGAACCCAAGAATACTTGTTGTTCTGAAGGGGCCTGATTCAAAGCCCAGTATGCCAGGAGGGGTGGTTGCCTTGAGAATTAGTGCACTGGATGAAGCTGTGATTTCTAAACGAATAAATTTTAGTTACAGACAGACAATGATGGTCACAAAGGACAGCAGCCTATCCTACTCATTCTATCTTGGAAGTTCTTAATTGCACAATGCAATTACTGAAAAACGTCTATCAAGGCTTCCAGCAGTAAGGCTTTTAGAAAGGCATCCAGGCCTGATGGAAAGATTAGATACACAGGTCTGAAGTCAGCCATGCTAATTAGTACATGTTAACAGCTGCACTCAGAGGCAAACTTTTTTTTTAAATCAAGTATTATGTGACTTGAGGGAATGTATGAGGGAGCCTTGTGAGCACCCAGTGCTAGCCTATTAATACTCTTCTAAATACTCTGACCTTGCTGCAATGGAAGGCCAACACTCTTGACAATAATAATCAGATGAAAAACAATAATCTGTTTTAAATTAGCAGCTAAAAAGTCTTTTTAATTTCTCAAAGAACTATTATTTTATTCCCAGTGGAAATTCAGGGATTCACAATAAAGTGGACAAATGGCTCATTTGCAGCTCCATGGGCAACATTTGGCTGCATTCAGCACTCTGGTTTTGAGAGAATGAACACCCAGAGGAAAGTGAAATATGTTCTTCAGCCTTGCAGTAATGCACATATCCCTATTACATCAGAGCTAGTGGGATTCAACTATCTCAACATCTAATATTAGACACTGTTAGAACTGCAGACCATACAGTAAGTGGCAGCTGTGGGTAAGATATTTAGAAATAAACAGAGTACATCGGTCATTTAATTCTGTTTCAAGACAATATTGAGACTTTGCCTTGATATTCCTTTATCAGACTGTTTTGAAAAGCTGATTTTTTTGCTGTAGGGTTTGAAGAGTGCATCTAAAGTTTCAATTGCTCAGTTTCTATTCAGTTGCAAGAAGTAATAAAGCAACTAATGATGTTTAAGAATGGGGCTAGTCTTTTGGGAGATGGTTCAAGGTGGCATGGATGTTCAGAGATGCATGATAAAAGGCATCATTATAAAATGGGGACTGTTTGCAACTGCACACTTGTTTTTCCCTAGGCTTACATATATGTCATATCGTATATCTCCTTAAATGATAATCCACATTCTTAGGGATTTGTGGATGTTGTTTGCAGACAGAAGGAAAGGAAAGAAAATGTAACAATCAACCCTTACTCCTACGAAACACCTTGGAGAATCTTGTTGATTTCATGCATGCAAGCCATGGAGCTGTTTATTTTGAAAATGTTAGAAATATTTGAAAAAAGGTTTTGGTTATTTGGATGAAAAAATAGTATGTGTGGAGTAGACATTCAAAGCAGAAAACCCCTAGAACTGCTAAATACTCCTAAAGTGAATGGCACCATTTCACTGAGGAGAGCAAACAAAGAGAGTATTCTATTCAGACTCCAGCTCAGCCATGGGGAAAATACAGGATTATCTTTAGGCAAACAGGGTCTATTGAGGCAGATTTTACTATCTGAGATGAGAGCGATAAAATACCTTCAAGTTACACCTGGAAACTCTTAACCCTTTATCATGCTCCTGTATGTGTCCTTTCCACTTTTCAGTAACTTCTGTCTCTGATCATGAAAAATCTTGAGAGCTTGGCAGACAGGAGACACAAAGAACAGTATCTAGTTTGACAGCTTTTTCCATAGTAGTATTATTGGTGGCTGTACCTAACCACTGGCAAGGCTTGGCTGTCTTTAATTCATCGTGGGTTTTTGTAGTTGTTTTGTGAATTTACATTTCTGCTCTACCACAGGCTTGTATCTCCTATTTTAGTGGCTTAAACCAAAGAAAGAGAAGTGTAATTTAGTTCTTGTTGGATGTATTCATTCTGCAACTCTCTTTATCCGTAATCCAGATATTGACATCTCCATTGCCATAGCCAGACTCAACTGTGACTTGACGGCCCAGCTTTTATAAATGGGTGGTTTATTAATTTGAAATTGGTGGTAAGAATACTAAAGGCTAACGGTGGCTTGCATTTACAAATTTAACAACTTGTTTCACACAGGGCATTTGGATGTAAGGCAAAGTTAAACTTGATCTAATCAATTTAAGTCCTGATTCAATCCTAAACATGGTGTCTCTAACAAGAGATGCTATGAACTGTGCCTGGTAGTGAAACCAGGATTCCTGTAAGGAATATTAAGTGACTGGAAATCCAGACGTAACGAGCGACTCTGGTGGTGGTGTTTGAGGCAACGCGATCATCTAGCTCTCTGGCTTCAGGCTACACACCTCACCTCGACAACGGTGGAGAGAAGTGGGCCACAGAGCCGGGACAAAGCTCACACCATGCTGGCTTACTAGAAACTCTTTTTTGAAGTGCTCCTGAACCTGAAGTGTATGTGCCGCCTGCTGAAATCCATGCATAAAATAACCCAGGGACACCTGGAAGAAAGCTGCAGATTTACATTTACAAACTTCTGTAAGTAAGGAGTTAATGCTGAAATCTCGAAGTAAGAGTTCCAGCATTATTTGTTCCTCACAGCTAATGCATTTTGCCAGAGTATTGTGATGCTGTTTCTGGAACAGGAACGTCATTCATTTAGAACACTGCAGCTGGAAATAGCTGTAGAGACTTGGTTTTGACCACAAATAATTGTGGGCAGAGATTTGTAGTAAAATACTGTGGAGCCCCACCCGCCTTTGCATTTTGGGGCATATTATTCCTCGTGTAGGTAAAAGTGAGTCTCACTGAAGTACGATTTCTTGATCGCTAATCCTTCACATGTTGGATGGAGGTTTTTTCCCATGCTGAAAAAGAATAGGGTGGCAGAGGACAAATGGAGCTCCTCAGAACTCTTAAGGGTGTTTACCTGCAAAGGTTTGCAGGAGGTCAGAACAGCAGCATGGGCAGCAGACTATAAACACATCATTCAGATTAGGGAATTATGAAATTGTGGGGTTTCAATTCAATCTCTGAGAGCTTTTGTTGAGACTTTTTCATCAGAATTTTGGGGGTTTCTTTTCCCCAGGGAAGATTTTTGAAGTAAAAGTTCAGCTTTGTATTTTCAATGCAATTTTGAGGACTTTCAGAACAGTCATAGCATTTAAGCATCCTCAGTATGAGAAGTGAAGTATTGTGGTTTAAAACATTAAGAGGGGATATTCATGACACCAAACTGCAGACTCATAATTTAACCAATTAAATTAGGTGCTCGGTCTTTTTAGGCCCTGCCTACCAGAGGAGAGAGGTTCCTGCTCTTCAAACACCCTCTGAAGATAATAATAGAGGCTTGGGAAGCTCAGTCACCTCTGGCAGTTTTTTGAGTTC